ACACCATCCGGTGGGTTAGAGGAGCAAGTAGACCACCGAGAAAGTAACGAGTAAATTTTGCGTCGATCAAGCCAAACTGAGTCAGCCATTTTCAAAAAACTTCAAACACACCAGCAATAGTTCAGCTATGTCCCAATCAGAAGTAAGAATGGACCCATCATTGCTTTCTATAAGAGCTGCCTAGTTATTTGAAGACAATATCTTTTTGTCAATAGAACAGTTGAACCTAAAGAGTTTCTTGTTAAATTTATCAGAAATGCGCTTATAATTAGACCAGTCCTCATCCAAATTGGAGCCAGGAGCTTTTTTCTGTAGGCTTCTTCATTAAGACGAAACCAATGTCTTAAGTAATCGGGAATGTGTTCGAAGGAGACCGGGACCCTCTTTAAAGGAACGAAGAGATCCAAGACATATTAACATATTGATAGAAGCCATGATTACTGAGCATTTGCAAGAAATCATTGGCCAACGATGAAGACGGAGATAGAACATCATGCCAATTTATGTCCGGGTAATTGAAATCACCCATCAGAAGGCATAGATTTTTACTGGATGAAAGATCACTGATACATTTAACCAATTGCAAATTATGTTCTGCGGAGCATTTGGGCGTTCTATAAACCAAAATTAATCGATAATTGCAACCATGCGACGAAACATCACATGAAACTATCTCATACACATCAGAGACGGATTCGGCGTAAACCGTAACGGGAAATAAGGTTCTCTTCAGTATAAGAATAACACCGCCTCCCTTTTTACTTGGCCTGTCGCACCTTATCTCCTCATAAAACGAAAAAATATCGCCTAGCAAAGAGTGCGAATTGTGCTTCCTTTTCAACCAAGTCTCAGTCAACGCGACCACATCACACTCTTGACGCGACATCTCAAAGCTCAAAGAAAGAACATTTTTTGGTAAAGACCTAATATTGGCCAAGATGCAGCATAATTTATTATTAGTAGCACACTGAGGAAACCTTAATTGCTTAACGAAGTTTGATTACCATCTGAAGCAATATCATTACTCGGAATCACAACATCTTCGGATGGAGAGGAAACATTAACGGAATGATCACCAGTAGGAACGGCATACGATTTTTGAACAATTGGAGGATTGGGATTTACAGCATTAAGCCTAGTAGCTCATAAGGCCCGTAAACGAACACGTTCAGCCTTAGTTAACGACGGTCTAATACAAAACCCTTGATAGAAAAGTGTTCAACATGGATGCACGAGAAAGAGAAGGATACTTGGTAGCAGTGTCTAATCATGGTGAGATGTGCACCGCCGGAGGTATTTCCCATTGTGATCCAATATCTGCGGAACGATTCCAGGAACAAGTTTTGTAGTCGTTTTCCTCCTATGTAATACCACCGTACCGACCAAGTAACGTAATCGGGCCCTTTTATGCAATGATGGTGCACTTGGTAGGGCGGTGAAATCAGCCATGGTATAATGGCGAGGGTTTTCCATGAAAGTGCTCATTTAGTCTCGGATAAAACTTCTCCTAAAGGTTTACTAGAAATGCTTGCTCCTCATTTTGGCTGATCGAGGAACTAACTCTCGAGATAAACTGGTAATGCGGTGAAACGAGATACCGCGGCTCGATTCAAAACCCGAAATCTACCGTGGTTAACTTTGATGTTGTCTTATATGGAAATTTCAGTTTTGATTTTGGGCGCCACTGAGTGAGAATTGTTGTATTGCGATGAGATTCCTATATCTAAATCAGGTTCACTTCTTTCAAATACTCTGCAAACTTCTAAAAGCCGACAGGCAGACAGGCCGTTCACTCGTTTTCCACCTAGTAGTTGCAATAAATAAGGCATCATTTGCCAAAATTGATTAAATTGAATACTCTGAATTCTCCCACTTTTCTTAAAGTCTCAACTTTTTTATGCACGAAGAACGCGGCTCTTTTTGCCAATCGAAAAATAGAAGGCTATGGCGTCTTCTACCTGTCCCATAAAATTAAACCCCCTGGTCAAAATCAAAAAGTTGAAAGTGACCTGCGTAAAACTCCACATTCTCAAGAAGATACGGAGTTCTAAAAGTTTCGCCATTGCTCTCTACTCAAATCAAGCTGCACTTTTTCTGAGTCGAAGAACGGCAAAAAAAAACTTTGCCTAGAATATATTTCCATGCTCTTGAAATGAGAGTGAGCTTCGTGGATGAGCACTGTTAAGCATAAAACGTATCGCAAGCAATCATGGCAAGTTTCATGAGAAAGCAAAATAGACGTATGCATCAAGGATTCGATCACTCATGTCATACCTTAGCATACACCGCCCTACCATCTGCGCCACCGTTGTACAATATGTACTGCTCGGTTCTGTTATGTGATCGACACAGTAGTATATTACATAGAAAAACGGTTTCGCAACGTTGTTCTCATAACCATTTCGCAGATTTGAGATCATCGTTCGAAAACTCCTACGGCGGTATACATCTTGAATGGTTACTACTACCGAATATCGTTTCTTTATGTGTATCATTAATGTCATCGCCGTTCTACACACCTTGATTATTTTCAGGACAACGCCTATTGATTTCAATTTCTTCTCCCTTCATTTTGATTATACATTCCTTACGAATTCATTTATTAGGTTGAGTCATAAGTCCTCGGACAATGTGATAGTGATGATGTCTGGAGATCATAACTCAGGAAAGAGGTGACGAAAATGGACGCGCGAGGCATCGTTGGATGAAGTATACAAAACTCTTCCAAACACATACTGACGAATACACCTGACCGTTTCCTGCGCTTTAGCGTGAGGAGAGAAAGAAACTTGCAAATTGTGCATCTAGCAGGAGCAACCTTCTTGTAAACTTCCCTCATACGTCTATTGATCTCCGCGGGTTCTTGACCAGATGAAAAAAGAAATATGATCTGGTCTTGCATTTCTGAGGGCCAGCCGAGCTTCCTCACTCTACTGCTCTTTGGGTTCATTCAAACGTTCTGTAGCATCGCACATCCTTCAAGCGTAGTTGCCACCTTCACTTATTCTCTTTCTCAGTGTTGCCACAGTTTTGTTTTTGTTTTTGTTTTGTTGATTGTTACATTTCAAACGTTGTCTTAAATAATGTACCAAAATAAGAGAACGATGGCGTTGCGGAGGTGAAGTTGCGACGGCTTGCAATCATGGGGCATGGTTGCAGGGAAGGAAACAGTCAGGTATGTAATTTAATATGTATTTGGAAGAACTTTCCGTGCTCTGTCTAACCATGCGCGTCCATTTTCGTCACCTCTTTCCCAAGTTATGGTCACTAGAAGTCATCACTACCACTTTGTTGGAAGACTTATGACTCAATATAATATTTTAATTTTCCGCCTATATTGCTACTTACACTAAATTATCCTTTACCTACTCTCCTCTTCCCTATTATTCTCTCACTCGGCGGTCAGCGAAAAATAATTCGTCTAAGACGTGATGTGAATCGTTTTCTCATTTTTTACATATCGATTATTACCAGACTTTCTATACTTGGTCTCAAAACTGGTCACCTCGTTATGGCGATTACAGTATAACTCTAAAATGACGTGATAAATTCCTGCCGTTTCCAGAAACGCCCTCAACCGCGTAATATTCGGCGGTACTGGATGGTTGCTTTCAGACCTCAACGATTCATCCGACCGACCGTCCGTCCATCCGACGCGTGCGTGCTGCGACGGCGGCGCCTGACCGTTGTTGGCAACGTTAGATCGCGTGCCAGTGTTGTCAACACTACTCTAGCGACTCCGTCGCAGCACGCGCGCCTCGCTCGGACGGACGGACGGACGGTCGTCGAACTCAGAAAGCGGCCAATGATTCGATAATTCGCGGTAATCTCTCTATAAATGAAGCCGTAACTTTGTGCGTCTGTTTGTGGGTCGGTTTGGGCGTCCTTACCAAAGTCACGTAGGCGCGATGAAGAGTGTGAATGTCACGTGAGTGCGGTGAGGAAACAGTTATGAAATGAGAGGTCAATCGATACTGTCCATATTAGCCCTCTAACAAGTTAGCAGGATCATTCAATGCAAAAGGGTACCTTTGCCCAGAGCAATTCTTTTACAGGTAATTTAATGTGGTCAGATAATAGAACAAGACATTCGAGAAACTGAAAAACGCATGATGATCAGCGCAAATAAGGGGTGGGAATTTATAAAGTCATGGTCTGGATATATTTATCTTTCTTAACCTGTAGTAAAAAAGAGAAAGAAAGGAAAACACCTCCATTGAAAAAGCTATAGAGTAATAATGGCAAGTAGATTCTCAGTTCTTTGATTGCTGCACTTACCGGAGTAGACCGCTGAAGGAGGTGACTTGATATCGTCAAAAGAGTCAAGCAGTACAAAGTCGAGCACAACATCCCAGAATCCGAAATCAACCACCTGAAGGAACATTATTTTGAAAAACAACAATAGCGCCCGTAGAGGGTAATCTCGCTATATATGAAGCGGTAATTTTGCGTGTCTGTTTGTATGCCGGTTTGTGCGTCCTTCCGTAAGTCACTTAGGCACAATGAAGAGTGTGAATTTCACGTGAGCGCAGCGAGGAAGCAGTTATAAATTGGGAAGCCAATCCATACCGTTTATATTGTTCCTCAACACGTCGTAGGTAAGCGGTAGTGGGCATGTGGTGCACGCGTGGGCGTGCGTAGCCCAACTGATTCTAACAAATCTGCATCTGCTTTCTGCCTTTTCACCGATTCATTGTACTCACCATTTTTTTACTGAAGATGAGGCCACCCAGCAGCGGCGGTTACGCTGAACTGCACAACCTCCACCACATAGCACACATTCACAAGAGAACGCGCCTATTCTATTTTACTTTCGATCGAACAATAGGGGGTCAGGATTCATTCAGCTAACATAATCAAAAGAGGAAGATCTACCGCGCTTCAATAGCTAGTAGCGATGCAGCTAGACGGCTTTCTCTTGCCAAAAGGAATTGGAATTTTAAGTCCTTCATAGTTGTGTTCGCTGTTTCTGTTTTTCCTCAAGCAGATTGAATACAACTTTATTCTGTTCTAAGGCCATGGAGACGGAAGCGCAGTTTGGTCCCACTGTTGATCATCTAAAATAGCCTGCGAACTGTAAAACGCATGAATAACCAAAAATTGTATCTAAACTAACCCCTCGATCGGCTAGCTCCTCTTCCATTTGGTTTACATTCGCTGCGTTACGGAAAAACTCTAGTAAGGCATCAAAGGCTATGTAAAACTGGGACGGGTCCTACAAAATCAAACCATTAGGCATATTACAATTTCCGGAAGAGGGACAGCTCTAATTGGACTAAGGTAAACCTGCTTCGAGTGTTTGAGAATATCTCCTAACAGTGTTCGCCCAGTTTTCGCCAGCCACATCCTCCGATGTTCATCATGCAAGCATGTCTGTAAGTGCGAAAGGTGAGCCATAACGTGTGAACCACAGAGATTAACAAATGCTCGACATGTATGAGGGTTTGAAACGTACAGCAAAGGCTTGGCGAATGCACCAAAGTTTTGCTGCGAAATCGAGCTCACTTTCACATTGACATATGTCGCCTCTCATTTTTCTATAGTCCACCTAAACAACAGCAAACCGTTAGAACATCACATTTAGGAAACGGTACAACGAACGCAGAACAGAAAGATTTGTACTTCTCCATTGTTTGCAGCGCGCAACCCATCTTTGTAAAATATAAGCTGGTCTTCTGGTACCGGCACGAAATCTCGGAAAAGATCTTCGTCAAGCGTTACCGACTCGAAACAAAAATATAGTGTTGGGCCTTCGAAACGAAATCTTTTCACTCACAAATTCCTCATAAGCCGACATAAAGGAATCGTCTGATAGAACTGACAAGGTTCCGGCACGCGGAGAACTGTAAACTGTTGCCCAACCAGCTGACTGAGGAATGACATTGCCAACTAAACATTCCAGGAATGAACACAAGGTACTTGCATGACCAAAAACTCAACCACTCACAGTCGTCCTTGAATTCTTCCAAAACCCCATCAGCAAGCAGTCGTGCGACGTCGCTTCCAAGTAACCGTAAACGATCAGCTATCGAACTAAGTTCTTCAAATCTATCAGAATGTTTCTCGCTTTTGGTGCGGTACGCCTCGATAATGGCAAACGCTCGCTCTATTGAACGTAGCACATCTTGGCCAGAGTCGACAGCTCAATTTATATTAGGTTGATGCATAAATATTGCGGATTTTTTCGAACAAATCTTACTCAAAGAAACGGTAGAAATATTCAGCAAAGACATGTTCAAATAATGACTCCGGAACTTATACACCAACTATGGGAGGCACTGTTTCCCATTTGATTCGATTCTTGGAAGTAATCCACGCTTTGACGTTGGCTATCATCCATCCATTTCGACGAAAGTTCTGTTCGTTAGCGAATTTGTCAACGTCCGGTTGACGTGATAAACCAGAGGAATCTCTATTGGTGAATGGGGCGACCGTAGAAGCAGATTCTATTCTTTATTCGGCTTTGGCTGACTATTCCATCGCCGAGAAGTTCGTCGAGATCACTTTATGGCTGCGTCACCTTCCAATCTTTCTCGAAGTAATAGGGCACAATGTAGCGTATATGAAAATGACTTCCTAGACAATTTTCTGTTAAGGAAAGCAAGGAGATTATTTCTTTCAAATCCCGAATTCATTATTCAAACTCCTTCGAGAGAAAGAAGCGGCGAAAAAATCCACAATAATTATGCATTAACCTATTGAATTTCCGCCGTTTTTTGCGTGCAAAAACATATTTATTGCAAAATTAAAACCAAATGAACATTAACCAATGTATTGCCCATCGCCAGCTACAACTTCTTGCCATCTTTCTGGTATCTTGTTGACTCCGGGTCTAAAAAAGTCTTCATCTTTTGAGGCAATCCTGCTACCCACCCATTTTCGCACTTCTCCAGCATTCCGGAAGCGTATATCTGCCAAACTGACTTGCATGGACCGGAATAGGAGTTAATCAGAAAGAACAAGTACCGGAGAGTATGCGGGCTGAACAAGCTGATCTCATCCAACAACTGCAATTTTTTTTTCAGGACATTCTTTGCAACATGGGGACTGGCATGTTTGTGGTGGAACAGCACCTCATGACATTTCATTACGATTAACGGCCGCTTTTAGTGAGAGCATCCTACAAACTGTCAAGTTGGTGTTCGTAGCGGTCAGTAGTAACAGTTTCGTTCGGACTCAGCAGCTCATAGTACACAACACCCTTTTGGGGATGTGGTGCGATTCACGCGCCAATATAATGAGGTCATCGTACAAAACGCGCTAAAACATCATGACTACCATCATAACGGTAGAAATAAGGACTTATAAGTAGAATAAGTAAAGAAATGACCGACTATCACTTTCACAGAAGGATTGCATCTTCTAGGATCAAAGAATTTGAAGTTATTCTTATTTTCGAACGTTTGGCAAGTTAATTGTTGACCTATGAGGTGAATTTTCAATCTCGAAGGGGCCATAGTAAAGAGATTTGGTCTATTCACGGTGAAGCTGTCGACTACTGCAAATATATTTGGTCCATCTCAACAGAAAGGTACTGAAACGATGCTGCGTGCGCGAAGACCTCTAATGGGGTCACGCGTGAATCGCGCGCCCCCCCCCCTTTTGGTCCCACCACCAAATGCATACACAGCATTACTTTTTTGCTATGAACATTCTGCTTTCGTTGCAAGCTCTCGAGTGAAGAGAAACCATTTCAGCACGTTCGTTTAGATGAAGCTTGTCCTCCATAGAAGCATCCGGTGGGCTTCAATGCCAGTTTTCTTGAAATCAGACAGCAGGGGAAGGGCCCCCCAGGAAAGCGGTCCATCATGTTCCATGACCAATCAGTCTGAGAGCAACAGGATTTTGAGGAGAACTGATCTGTCTGCCCTTAAGTATGAAGCCAATACTCTGCCTTACAGAACATGACAGGTTTCACCGGTAAACCTCTGACATTGTTCGCGCAACGGCCCTTCGAATTCGGCGGCGGAAATTAATGCACACACCTAATAAAAACTGTAAGCTCTTCAAATCTATGGACTCTTAAAATGAACATTAACAGAATGTCACACGCTTAAAGTAACATAAACCTTGATATCACAGAAAGAGATTCTTGTGATCATCACGAGGCTTCTATAGTTGGTTTGTTGGCGAGCAGTAGAAATAGGTGTGAATGAGAAACATGGTTAAAGGCAGTAAAGGCAAATGTTGAGAGAACTTCCGCTTCGAAAACCAATCAGATTCATACATTCATACGTACGATAAAGAAAAGAAACACAAAAAAATGCGAAGCTTTATTCTGTTGAAAAGGCATGGGGTCCAGTAATTAACTCATATGGAAAAAGACGATCAACCCTCAACACGATATCTTGTAAAGATATGAGTCACTGTTTCGCTGAAGCAGAAAATGAGTGAGGCCAAAGCGAGGCCGTCACTGTTATCGACTGCAGGGTTACTGCAGTAAAGGTTACTTGAGGCTCATTTAGGTCAATTTTTCCGGATCAAGCGAAAGGAATCCCCGTAATCATGAGGGAAATTCCAAGCCTATAAGAGCGGCGACCCGAGAACTTGGTGTATTAGGCGCATAAGTGACTGCCATGGTGGAATGATGCATAACTCCCTGAGAAATATTTACTCACTGATCTGAAACCATTCCTCATTATCACTTACTGCTTTTGTATGCTTAAAATTAATATATTGACTCATATTGCAAACTGTATTGAATATACAGGGTGCGCGAAAATTACTTGCTCAAATATCCACCGCTGTAAAATCGGTTAAACGATAGATTGAGGACTAACTTTTCTACGACACTTTATTTATATTGAGGCATTACACATACTCAATTCAAATCTCGAAACTCCCTCCACAGGCTCGGGCACGGCCCTCAGCGTAAGGGGAAGGCGCCCACTGTGACGCGAAGGTACTTCAAAGGTATTTCTTCCCATGCTCTGAGCAGGTCCCTCTTCAATGAATCAATTGAGTGGTCTTGCTTAGAGCAGGCCTTGCTCTCCAATGGCGACCATACGGAATAATCCATTGGATTCAGATCAAGGCTATTAGAGGACCATTCCTGAGCGTTGATAAATCCTGGGAGGGTGTTTTGGCACCACCCTCGCTCTATGAGCCGGTACTGAATCTTGCTGGAACACGAACGGTTTACAGCGGAAGTGATATTTTGTCCATGGAAGCAAGACCTTTTTCAGCACGCTCACCAAGTAGACTTCCGTCTTGATTTTAACATCGTTATCGATGGAAACCAGCGGGGACTTCGCTTTGTAGGTGATCGCTGCCCAAACCATGATTTTTTCTGCATATCTAGAGCGCCCATGGATTCTTCTCCTCTTGTAAGCCTGTTCAGCTGTCGAGCAGAGCACTCGAGCGATTTGACGGTTGAAGGTCGACTCCAACGTAAACAGCTTCTCATGGGAGAAGACAATGTCTCGGTGGCGCGCCGACGCGAACCGTTGGAGGAGCATCTTGCACTTCTGAATCCGATTTTTCTTCATGGATGCAGTGAAAAGGCGCACCTTTCGGCATCGATAAGGTGTCAATCCCAGCTTCTCTTAGAACTGAACGGCGAGCGGAGAAATGGCTTATTCCCAGCTTTTTGGCAATCTTTCTCATCGACTTCTTCGGATTGCGTCTCACCATATCCCGTACAACTTTGACCTTTCTCGTGGAAGTTGCAGTTGTTCTTCTTCTCTTTCCGGGGCGGTCTCCTGCAGTACCGAGCTCCTTGAATCGTTCGATGGTGAAGTCCACAGCTCCTCTGCTGATTGGTAGAGTTTTTGCGATGGTCTTGGAACAGCGACCCATCTGGTGTAACTGAATGATAGCGGGTCTGAGAGGATGAGGTCCAACCATTTTGGAAGGAGCGAGAGCTGAGGATCGAAGCTTGTGCTAATGATCAAGGAAGAAGTGCTTAACATGTTCGCGGCTAATCGAGAGATCATCGCTGCATTAAGTCAACAGGTCGAACTCTGCAACATTGAGCAATTAATTTTGGCGCACCCTGTACAAGGAGTTAGTGCGACTTTCACCGGAAATAAATGTCTCGTGAATACGTGACAACTATTTCCACCTACTCGGAAAGAAGACTCCCTCAAGATCCTGCAATATTCACACTGAAGCCATTTTTTTAAAAAGGCAATGAGCTGTTTAAGGTGGCAGCTTTCATTCTCATTTTTGGCGACCTTCGGTGTGTGAGTGTGCGAAAAGAATAATTTGAATGGGTATGGGTAAATTCACTCAATTCTGGATGGACGCGGCAAGCCGCGCGGCGAAATTTCTGGTGATTCGAACGACTCCGGTGCTTATAATTGGAACAAAGGCTTTGGGTAGATTAGCTGATGCTGATGTACGACCAGCTGATGCTACTGACCTACCCTATTTCAAATTTGTGTCCGAGTGGCAAGTGCCATGGCCGTTCAATCACCTCGAATTTCGCCGCGCAGCTTGCCGCGTCTATCCAGATTTGGGTGAATGTTCCGTCTCCCATATGAGTGGAGGGAATTCTGGCATAAAGTCCGGAGCAACACAAAATTATAGTCGTTTTGCACTCTTGATCTAGGGGTTGATTGACAGCAACTTTTGGTAGCAGGGATACCATAGCCAGCTCTTCACACGGGAGACGGAACATTCACCCAGAACTGGATGGACGCGGCGAACCGCGCGGCGAAATTCGTTGTGATTAAAACGGCTTTGGCGCCTATCATTGGGGCACAAATTTGAAGTGGGATAGATAAGTAGCATCAGCTGGTCCTACTTATCCAATCTACTTGGAACCCGTGCCCCAACGATAGGCGCCAAAGCCGTTTTAATCACAACGAATTCGCCGCGCTGTTCGTCGCGTCCATCCAGTTCTGGGTGAATGTACCCATACCCCTTCACACAACAGCACAAATTTACAGTAGCAATGAAATCTCGCCCAAAGACTCCTTTTGTCGTCAAAATATCGCACAACCCTGGAATATAATTTTCAAGAAACCTTATATTTCGCGAATCCTGCAGGAATTTCTCATTTGTTCCAAAAAGATATTCTACTCTGCGCCAATACTTTCGTCCATTCATTTATAAATGTAGCTAAGATTATAACGAAAGGTCTCAAATAAAAAACTGACTAAACTTGTAAGTAGTAAGGTGAGACTTACGTAGACTCAGACAGATACAACAATTCTGAAGAAATCATAACGAGGTACAGAGCTTGCCTGAGACAGGAAAGGCGTCCATACTAGCACTAAAATGATTTCGTTGCCGGCAACCCTCTGGTCGTCCATTTGCGCGTTCGCTTAGTGAAGGAGTACAATATAAGCGAGAAGATGTACGAGCTGAAAGCATCTAAACTTTATCAGAACTACAAAGCGGGCTAATACCGTCGGAATCCTCAACCACCTTCAAGTTTTTCATGACGATGAATGGTGTCATAAGGTATTTCCTGGAGACCCGCGTCACTCAGTCCCTTTGCGATTTTGGCATTTGAATGCCTTTCACGGAGAAACCACCTCAAGGATCCAAAACGAGTGCAAAAACAGAAGAAAGAATGAGTACGAAGTCTAACATTACCTACGTATCATAACTGCGAAAAGAACCACGCCAACACCTATACCGGCAACAACAACAGTCTTTGCTTGGCCTGCAAGTCTTACACCTGCTGAAGGCAGCATTATCTGGAACGAAGTATGAACTGGTCAATCGGCTTAAATCCATAGTCGGGCGGAAACATCTGCTGTTAAGTACTACACTGAAAGTGACGGTGAACACTGTTGTTTTCTTTAACCACATTTTATTCATGACACATCGTAGCCTTGACTGATTTGCGCCAAATTTTGCAGACTTTGAATGCGATAACTAATGCTTGGCTGGGACCCAGTCGCTCGTTCAAGAATTCTACAAAGCCGAATGAAAGCAATACACGACTCAGCATTACTGTCTGCTAAAAAAATTCTCCAACATGACTGTAGAACAATCAACGGCAGACAATCAATTTTACTTTGCAATAACAGTGACCACAGACCTATTTGAAGAAGAAACAAGATGGAAATAGGATAATACATATGGGATTGGTCAGCAGAGGAATAGTTACGTGAAATGGGTAGGCGAGTTGTAGTACCAGCAGCACGAAGGACTACTGTAAGATTGAAGCGCTCCAACGGTAAATGAGTTCAAACATGCGCGCGTGGGAATATAATTCAAGCCGCAGAACATTCCCATGGATGTACACGATCTTTTCTTTTTTTTATCAGATTGATTCTGATTGTTTCTTTCTGCTTATTTTTTTGCTTTTTTTCATGTTTACCAGAACAGATTGTTCGGTATGACTCCATCACTATTATCGATGATCAAGACCACAATGGGATTGAGGAAAGTTGTCTGCAGATGGCGCGCTCCAATCTTTCATCGCACGTCTGCCCTGGGGGCCTACGGACTACTTGAACTCGGTTCCTTTAAATTTGCCGGATGCGTCATTTTTCTGCCCTCGTCTGGCGCACTACCGTTTGATGTGGTCTTTGCGTGTTGTGCTCGCCTGTCCAATGGGGCCCCCACCACCACCGCCGTAGGCTTCACCCGGGGTGTTTTTCTCTGGGCTCTAGCTTCTTGCCGTCAGAGATGCAGAGAAAGTTCAAGCAGTCACGTAACCCTGCCCTGGGTGGCGAGTGCGGCAAGAGCGTTGCAGTGTTCGGGAAGAAGACCGGAGCCGAATATTCATAAGGGTATGACGTCAGGCTGACTAATGCGCCGTCTTTTTATTAGACGGATCGCCTGTTGGCGGTTCCGTAGCGCGTTCGAACACATTATTCTAAGGCGATTACTACTCGTAGGAAGTATCTTTCTTTAATCAACTAGCTATTAAACTATAATTTGGTAATCTA